ATGAATCGAAACCAATCGCGCGCGTAAGAAAAGGAATATATGATGCCAGACACGTTTCTGATACAAATTAAATTTGGGGTTAACTCAGCAGCAGTAGGCATATTTTGAAGGGTGCCACATATTTTAGCCTGCCAATTACTTGTAAGTTGTAACTGTCAGTGACTTTAAGAAAAAAATTAATTCCAATTCACAGACATAAAACACTGTTTCACGTTTCACATACCATAAGAAGTTGCGAGATACGTTTAAACGTTCACGACGTTTTCCATATCCTATAAAGATAGTTTAAGATTTTTCATTATAATTATCACATCGACTTTTCCATTCCAATTCACCACTATTTGCGATATAACTGAATAAAAAATAAATGAATCGCGGGGTTTGAAAAGTGTGCTTAATTACTAATAATTGTCTAACGGATCGGACAATGGGGTGAGTGAATTTTCCTTCCCTTCCAAACCTCGTCGAATGACTGACGTCATACCGAGAGGTAACCAGACAGCGGTTTTCCAAAAAAAAAAAAATGGAAAACCGGCATTTTCAAATTAATCGTCTTATGCAACTGTTACTCGCTTCACATTTAGTACTTCATCCACAATCTCGCGCTCTTACAAAACGTAAGTGAGGTGAAAAAAATATTTAGGCAAAATTGACCATGTTACAAAAGGCCGTTTTAAAAGTAAACTTTCCTGCTTGCGGAAAACCAGAGGAACCTTTATTGAGTTGCTTTGGTTCCTAAAACCCTTTTTTTTTTTAATGCTAGAATTTCTCTTCAATCGCATGCAAGCTGTCGTTACGTTAAGAGAAGTACCCCTCCATATTAGGGTTAGAACTTTCTGTGCTCTTTCAATCGAAAATTTGTAATAATTGAATGTGGAAACTTTAATTGATGCATAGGCCTATGCTTTCAGACTTAAGAGCAAGAATAGAGTAGCTTTTAACAATATCCTCTTGTTATCATCTCAGGGGGCGGGCCCTCCGTTGGCTCATTAGGGAGCTTTAGCAATGAGAGTGGCAACGGCAACGAGAACGGGCAGAAAACAATAGGCTTAATTAATGAGCAGAAACAATCACCCTGCACGTGCGTTTAACATTTTGGTACATTTCTTTACCGTCCTCGGCAAAACAACAACGTGAAATAACTTTTAGGTTTTCTCGAGAACGTAAGCGCATGACGGTTAATTTTTCCTTGTTTTTCCGTACTTTAACGCCGTTCTTAGTGTTATAGTCCCTGAATCTGAATAGTTTGCCAGCATTTTCCAAGTGAAACACATCGGAATAATCTCGAAAGAGTTACAAAAACGAAAAGTTTCGACACGACGTTTTCGTTGCCGTCGCCGCTGTCGTCGTTGCTAAAGCTCCCTATTAGCTTAAATGAAGGGACGCTGCCATGAGGGGATGGTGGACTTATAAGAGTCACCCCCAACTACTGAAAGAGATTATTTTTGGCAAAACAAAAATACACACGATACTAGAAGTAGTACTTAATGAAGAAAAAAATTATTAATTTTCTGGAACTCTTCTAATCTTTCATTGAATTTGAATTTTAGTGGAAAATTTAGACAGAGCCTTGGGTAAGTGTTTTACTAGTTGCAAGTAAACTTAACTGCTAAATATTTTATCCTACTCCCGTCTACTATTCGCGTTTTAAGGCATTCAGTTTCGAAGTCGCTTATACGACTTGCCGTGGTGCACCGTGTGCACGTGAACATCCCCAGAAAAATCCCAGATAGTTTTTCCTTCATTGGAGCTAAAGCCTTTGCCACGTTTGGTGCTAAACCGCTGTTTCTATTGTCGTCTAAATTATTGTGAACTTGGCTTCTTCGGCATTCTCCGGTCAACACTGTGAAGCGAATCAATGTTGCATCGCGTTCAGGACATCTGTGTTCTATGCAAGCTGCATATGAATTGCTGTTGACTCTTTCGGTCTGTTTGGTGGCTTTCCCATACAGTGTTTGCTCATCTTCGGAATAACTTTCTGCCGTTACCAAGGTACTCGTTGTTCCGGAAGTCAAGATTTTTGAATAGCATCTTCTCAAATTGGATATACGTCTAAATAGTTGTTGGAAAGGAGGCTGTGGAATATACCCCTGGTTGAAAACTTGTGTGTTGCTTTGGCTTTGAAATGAGTGGTTGGATCGTTTACGAAGTAAAGCAGTTCATGATCAGAAAATTAGACTTTTGTTTGGGTTTTCAAACTGGTGAAAAATTTTAAGTTTTTATTTCTGGTGTCGTAATTCTGGCTTCATTAAGAAAGATATTCACCGCCATGAATTAGGTTTTGAGGCTCACAACAAAGTTTTAACTTTTACTTCTCCAACTCATTTTCAGATCTAAAAGGCCCAGTGTGTGTTGGAGATTTTTATCAGCTGCCTTCAGATTTACTACTTTTGTCGTCATCTTCCTGTTAATTATATTTATTGGAGTAACTATCTTCGTTAAAACGGATATAGTTGTAATAGAAAGAGACTTTGTTATGTCAAGACTACGTAAACTTTTGGATCCGTTCATTGAAGTAGTTTATCATGAAGTTCCTCCTCAATGAGAAGTTATCTTCAAGTTACCTTGAATCATTTAATGAAATGAAAAAAGAACCATTGTATTTATTATTTGATATAGTTTATATAGTTGTGTTGGATACAAAGAACAATGGTTTTCTATGAGAAAAGGAATATTTGTTTGGTTAAATCAGCAAAGCTGGGAATCATGTAAAGTTACTCAATAAAGTGTTGCAAAAAAGGGGACTAATTGGAAAGTCAAGAAGGAAAACGGTCTTCAAAGGATGTCATGTACGTTACAGTCGTACATTGTTCACTCGGCATTTTTGTAATGAAAATTTACGCCACCTCTTACTCGTACGCACTTGGTAAAGAAACGAATTTTTATTGTAATATGCTTAAATTANACAAATTAAATTTGGGGTTAACTCAGCAGCAGTAGGCATATTTTGAAGGGTGCCACATATTTTAGCCTGCCAATTACTTGTAAGTTGTAACTGTCAGTGACTTTAAGAAAAAAATTAATTCCAATTCACAGACATAAAACACTGTTTCACGTTTCACATACCATAAGAAGTTGCGAGATACGTTTAAACGTTCACGACGTTTTCCATATCCTATAAAGATAGTTTAAGATTTTTCATTATAATTATCACATCGACTTTTCCATTCCAATTCACCACTATTTGCGATATAACTGAATAAAAAATAGATGAATCGTGGGGTTTGAAAAGTGTGCTTGGTTAATAATAATTAATTGTCTAACGGATAGGACGATGGGGTGAGTGAATTTTCCTTCCCTACCAAAACTTCGTCGAAGGACTGACGTCATACCGAGAGGTAACCAGACAGCGGTTTTCCAAAAAAAAAAAAATGGAAAACCGGCATTTTCAAATTAATCGTCTTATGCAACTGTTACTCGATTCACATTTAGTACTTCATCCACAATCTCGCGCTCTTACAAAACGTAAATGAGGTGAAAAAAATATTTAGGCAAAATTGACCACGCTACACTGAAAAGGCCGTATTAAAAGTAAACTTTCCTGCTTGCGGAAAACCAGAGGAACCTTTATTGAGTTGCTTTGGTTCCCAAAACCTTTTTCTTTTTTTTTTTTTTAATGCTAGAATTTCTTTTCAATCGCATGCAAGCTGTCGTTACGTTAAGAGAAGTACCCCTCCATATTAGGGTTAGAACTTTCTACGCTCGTTCAATCGAAAATTTGTAATAATTGAATGTGGAAAGGTTTAACTGATGCATAGATCAATGCTTTCAGACTTAAGAGCAAGAATAGAGTAGCTTTTGACAATATCCTCTTGTTTTTAGAGGCCAATTTGAGCATCTCAGGGGGCGGGCTCTCCGTTGGCTCATTAGGGAGCTTTAGCAACGAGAACGGCAGAAAACAATAGGCTTAGTTAATTAGCAAAAACAATCGCCCTGCACGTGCGTTTAACATTTTGGTACATTTCTTTACCGTTCTTGGCAAAACAACAACGTGAAATAACCAAATTTTAGGTTTTCTCGAGAAAGTGAACGCATGACGGTTAATTTTTCTTTCTTTTTTCTTACTTTAACGCCGTTCGTAGTGATACAGTCCCTGAATATGAATAGTTCGCCAGCATTTTCCAAGTGAAACACATCGGAATAATCTCGAAAGAGTTACAAAAACGAAAACGTCGTTGCCAAAGCTCCCTATTAGGTTAAATGAAGGGACGCTGCCACGAGGGAATGGTGGACTGATAAGAGTCACCCCCAACTACTGAAAGAGATTATTTTTGGCAAAAAAAAAAATACACACGATACTAGAAGTAGTACTTAATGAAGAAAAAATTATTAATTTTCTGGAATTCTTCTAGTCTTTCATTGAATTTTTTTTTTTAGTGGAAAATTTAGACAGAGCCTTGGGTAAGTGTTTTACTAGTTGCAAGTAAACTTAACTGCGAAAAATTTTATCCTACTCCTGTCTACTATTCGCTTTTTAAGGCAGTTAGTTTCGAAGTCGCTTATGAGACTTGCCGTGTTGCACCGTGGGCACGTGAACATCCCCAGAGAACTCCCAGATAGTTCGTCGTCAGTTGGAGTTAAAGCCTTTGCCACGTTTGGTGCTAAACCGCTGTTTCTATTCTCGTCTAAAACATCTTGAACTCGGCTTCTTCGGCATTCTCCGGTCAACACTGTGAAGCGAATCAATGTTGCATCGCGTTCAGGACATCTGTGTTCTATGCAAGCTGCATATAAATTGCTGTTGACTCTTTCGGTCTGTTTGGTGGCTTTCCCGTACAGTGTTTGCTCATCTTCGGAATAACTCTCTGCCGTTACCAAGGTACTCGTTGTTCCGGAAGTCAAGATTTTTAAATAGCATCTTCTCCTATTGGATGCACGTCTAAATCGTTGTTGGAAAGGAGGCTGCGGAATATACCTCTGGTTAAAAACTTGTCTGTTGCTTTGGCTTTGAAATGAGAAGTAACTCTGCCCACTACTCCAACAAGAGCTAGCTTGAGCTTTTTGGTACACAGGGCCGTTGAGTGGTCGCGCACCAGGAGTAAATTTGATTCTTCGGTTATCTACTATGGAAGCACCCGCTTCAGGAGGGAGAGCAGCCACTTCGCGCGCAACAGGCAGTAAAGGCACTCCGTCCTCCTCAACCTCCATGTAACCATCGCTATTACACTGGGTTGAGATGCATCGGTAGCCATTTGAGCCAGTTGTCTCCATTACGTACCCTTGAATCGCTTCTCCACGAGGATTTACGAAAATAATAGTGACTTTAGCACTTGGCACTCCTGTTCCATCGTGTCTGGCAGCTCTAACCTTTGCAAAACAACTCTCATAAGTCTTATCGACATTGTAAGCATATTGAACATTCTCTGGTGTTATTACTCCAGAAAATGCCCTGGACCATAAGTTTCTCTTTCTACGCTTGGCACTCTCGCTGTTTCGTTCAAGTTGGCCAGCGTCCAACCATCGACCAGTTTTCTGGTCCAGCCACCACAGATGTGGTAAGGGAGTAGATTCATTAAAGGTCTCTCCAGTTATTTGTTCTATGTCGATGTTAATATGAAGATCCTTGGTGAGGCCAAGGTTGTTGTTATTTTCGTCCTGCACCTTTATTTTGAAAAGGCCGTACGTTCTGAGTAACTGTTCTTCGCCATCTTCGTCGACAGTAGTAAAGTCACCTTGAGATTCTAGAATGTCTCGCTCACTTCTGGGATCACTGAACTGCACTTTGACTTTCGCTTTACCTTTTTGGGGGTTTCCATCCTTGTCAATCAAGCTATTGGCCGGTATGACAACTTCTGCCGCTGCATCTCCCACAAGGGGCACTACCTTTTCTTGTTCGGGATCAAATTCAATGGGTTTCGCTTCAGGCCGAAGATGAATTTTGTGAAATGTTGTTGTGCCCTTTTGGAAAGGTAACATAACTGTTCTTTCCTCGTACTCCTCAGTGTAATCTCGAAACGTTACTACTAACCGCTTTGCAGCCTTGGTAACAGTCAGTTGAAATGTTCCGTCGAAGTCGGAGAAGGTAACAACTGTATCATTAACCAGAACGTCGCAATATTCCACTGGTGTCTCATCTGGTCCTCCCACCACCACTCCTTCAATATTCAAATAAAACGACAATTAAGTCAAATTGCTACCTACACTGGTACTTTGAAATAACATGTTGCACTTCACGAAGTATTGCCGGTGTTGCATGCGTTATAAAAAGGGAAACTGCTAGATTTGGTACATGATAATTTTTTTTTTTTAAATAGCAACTGTTCACCGATGTGGATGTGGCTAGTGGTGAATATATACCGAGCTGCGACGCAGCGAGGTAATTATCCACTGCTAGCCACCGACACAGAGGTGAATAGTTGTTTCAGTATATTCTAACACCGTGAAATTATATTTTCTTTCTTTCAAAGGAAACCTATTTTCATGATTGCCAGAAACTCCAAATGACCTCAGTATCTAGCTAGCGTTTCTTATGATATTGTACGATGGACTATAAAGATGCTGAAACCCGTGCAATACCTTTCACAATGGTATCTCCTTCCTTGCAAATGTCACATCTGCAACTCACAACGCTATGAACTGTGAACTCTCCTTGACCACAGCGAACGGTGGTTTCAGTCACGTCACCAGCCTGACAACAGTGCTCTTCTTCCTCACAAGACTGTTTGGGGGGCACATCAACTCGAATACATGGGCTGTTGTTGCACTTTCCAAGGTTTACCTTGCTTTTACCGTTGAGATCTGTACACCCATCGGGAAGGTTTATGTAATAATCGGATGGTGTAGAGTTGCAGGTATTCATGTCTGTATCTGATGTAAAGACAAATTCTTAATATGTAATACAACTATCATAGGAAATGACCCTTTGAACTAAATTGGAAATGACCCTTAAATCAGATTGAAACAAACACATCGTTAATCGAAAGTTGATTTCCCTTTCAGAGATCAAAAACCTTGCTAAAACTCGAGACATGTTAAAATTATAAAATAAGAGGTAATGGTAAAATACTGCGTCAGATCATTTCACCAGAAATTCATCTCAAAGAGTGATTGCTTTCTGTCTTTCGCAATGCTGAAAGCATGAAAAATTTTTAAGCTGACTGAAATTTTCATTTTTCAAAGATTTGTGAACTTGTGCATGCTAAGAGAGTTGTCATCAAGTTAAATCCCAAGGAAGAAGCGGCTCCACGAAACTCACATAGCTAAAGCCAAAACTTAGTCGATTGTGTGGAACAAACTGATTTTTTCGGAACGTATGACTTCAATTTTAAAGAGTTTTGGTTAACTTGTTTTACTACCGTAGGGAGCTCCACTGGCGCATTAGTAACATCATACGTTTTAAAGAATTGATAATTTGGTAGACATCTGGGTGGCTTTTAAATCCTGAAGAAACGCCCTTTGAGCAAAAAAAGGGAGGAAATGGGAGAATTCGAAAAAGTAAACGTTAATAATAACAATAATCCAAATTGGTTCGAATCCCGTACAGGCCTGATTTTTTTCAGGTCTGATTTTCGCTATTGCATAAATAGCGCTCTCTACTGCGAGGATCGTGCATCATACGTATCTATAACCGCAGTTCAAAATATATGAACTTTCATATATTCATTGTATCTGATTTATCATCACGGGTTTATTACGAATCAACTTAACGGCCTGCTCCCAGTTGGCTTGTTAGCTCAATTGGTAGAGCGCTGCACTAGTATCGCAGAGGTCAGTGGTTCGAATCCCGTACAGGCCTGATTTTTTTCAGGTCTGATTTTCGCTATTGCATAAATAGCGCTCTCTACTGCGAGGATCGTGCACCATACGTATCTATAACCGCAGTTCAAAATATATGAACTTTCATATATTCATTGTATATGATTTATCATCACGGGTTTATTACGAATCAACTTAACGGCCTGCTTCCAGTTGGCTTGTTAGCTCAATTGGTAGAGCGCTGCACTAGTATCGCAGAGGTCAGTGGTTCGAATCCCGTACAGGCCTGATTTTTTTCAGGTCTGATTTTCGCTATTGCATAAATAGCGCTCTTTACTTTGAGGATCGTGCATCATTCGTAATAATCCAAATGTAAAACACACTTACCGAAAACTGTTAATGTCGCAGACTCAGAAAATTCTGCGCCGAATTGATTTACTGCTCGACATCTGAAATTTCCGGCCATCTGCTTTCCCACCTTTCGCAACAGTAACGTTTCTTTGTTATTAAATTCGTCTGAGTCTAAGATGTTTTCATTTCGAAACCTACAAATCCAACGAAATATTTAGTGTATATTGAATTAATCAATTTTTCATTGTTTTGTAAAACCTCCTTTGCTGTTTTGTTCTCTCCATAGGAAACTTGCGTCTTCAATAAGTCGTTTGGTTTGCGTCGACAAAAGCTTCAAACGACCCGTTTCAGTACGTTTTAGCTATGACTCAAACTTGCTCTAAGTTGTGATCAGGAACAATTTATTCAAAAGCGAAATATTTTCCAAGAAGAGGCCAGCATAGTCAGTTAACGTGCACATAGTGGACCTCTTAAAGTCCCAAAAGCCCTAAAATCACGGACAAAGATGAAAGAGAAAATTTTCCTATGAATGCTAAAGGAGGACGGAAGAGTTGCCTCAATTTCTTACGAAGTAACCCGGTATTACATTCTTGTGGTTACCATTTGCAAATTTCTTGATTAAGCATAAACCGCGTTTTTTCAAATACATTGCTTACCATTCTATGACTGGAGGTGGATTTCCTTCCACGCGGCAACAAAATGCGACATCTTGTCCAAGAAAACGTCTTCTGTCTTCTGGGTGAGCTGTTACTGTCGGGTGAACTGTTAAGTAGAGTATGCCAAGATTAACAACATGAAGAGAAAATGATACGCTCTACATTCTTCGCACAAATGAAATAACTTATTACACTCAGTCTGGTGTTTCGGTCGTGCAAGGAAAGTTTCAAAGACATTTCGCAAGGCCAAAGCGGAATCTTGGTTTAACAACCCTGTTTAGGTTATCGGTCAAAATAATCGCACAGGACCTTAGATCTTTTGTCGCAAATTTTACCAATAAAGGTGTTCCTCGATTGCCTTAGAATTTTCTGTACGGCAATATTCAGTCATTATGACCATAAGTAAACCCGGCCATGCATATTCCAGCAACGTTAATCTACTTTGAATAACAAAAGAAATACCTGCGTTTTCCATCTTGATTTTAATGGTGGACTTGGGGTCTGTTATGCGAAAAGTCTGGGGGACGTATCCATGTTTGATAATCAAAATGACTTTTACTTTGTCGAAGCAGAATGCACTGACTTCGAAGAAGCCATTTTCTTGAGTGCGACCCAATATCTTATACGGAGACTCGGCAAGTGATACATTAGCTCCAGCCAGAGGTGCGTCACGTTTTGTTAAAACCCGTCCCTTCAAAGTACCTTCTCTATCTACTGGACACTTTCTTTTCCTTTGATCTGAAATATTCAGTATTTTCGCGTTTACTTTTTTCTTTATCAAAGGGACCTAGCTTCAGTGCATAGTGGTCCTTGTGAGTAACATGATTGGAAAAACCTGGTATCTTTTAAGAATTAATGATTTGTAAAGCTTGCGACTGGACCGCCGAACAAACTTTAAACCAGCATGTTATAAAATTAATTGTGAACAGGCTGAAAATACGAGGATGATTGTATGATGACCGTCAAATAAATCAAGAGTTAAAAGTGATTTTCGTGAAAAGCTAACAACCGATTTTATTCCTATTCATAAAAAAAGTATTAAAATAGCTGCTATTCTTTGAAATTATTGACTTTGTTGACTGAAAAAAGATCAAGGAATCCCACACCTGGACACTTCCAGTCCGCGCATGTGTTTTCCTGCCGAGGTTTGCCGGCACACCAGCCGTTCTTGAGAAGCTTTCCATTGGCTTTGTCAGTACAAACACGAGTTCTACTTTGTCGACCCTCTCCACAAGAACGCGAGCAGTCAGTCCATGAGGACCAGCGGCTCCATTTACCATCTAAGAAGAAAGATAACTTGTTATGTGACAGACTTCATGCTTAAAGGTATATGAACTTTTTTAAAAGGCACCTGCATCTCAGTATTCTTTGAGACCAGAGGAATTCTGTTTTATTCTTCATTTGTAGTGAGAAGATAAGTAATATTCAGTTAAATATTTGTTCTTATTAACCGAGTGGGAGGTCTGTATGGGAGAATCTCAAGTTACCGAGGTCGCCAGTACAGACCGAACGCAGTGAGGTCTGTACCAGTGACCGAGGTCAAGATTCTCCCTTACAGACCGATCTAGCTCTGTTAATAAGATGTTTATTATATGGCTGTCTTATATGCCAATTTTTTATATTCTTTGTACCTTTTTTTCTAGACCGGTCTAGATGCCGGTCTAGATGGGGAAATCTAGACCGCTCTCAATATTGACTTCAGCCAATCAAATTCGAGAATTCGGTAGTTCCCAGTCTTTGTGAGACACAGTCATATAATAATTAAGAAATAAACTAAAATCAGAGAAAATTTCTTCCAAGCCAGCCGTGGTCTTGCTGTCTCCCATTCTTATCCCTTGTTCTCCTGGCTGCGTGATTTACCTGCGTGATTTACCTACGTGATTTACCTCCGTGATTTACCTGCGCGATTTACCGGCGTGATTTACCTGCATGATTTACCTGCGTGATTTACATGCGTGATTTACCGGCATGATTTACCTGCCTGATTTACCTGCCTGATTTACCTGCCTGATTTACCTGCCTGATTTACCTGCCTGATTTACCTGCGTGATTTACCTGCGTGATTTACCTGCGTGATTTACCTGCGTGGTTTACCTGTGTGATTTACCTACGTGATTTACCTGCGGGATTTACCTGCGTGATTTACCTGCTTGGCTACTTTGGTCACCCATCACATTCCCTGCGTTTCAACAAAAATGAATTAAAAAAAATGCTAAATGCTACTCACCAGTATCGACGGACACCATCCAGTCTGTGAAAGTGAAGTATGTCATGGAAAAAATGAGAGAAACAAAGACATTTTAAAGACCTTGTGTAAACAAAGCACTAAATTTACAGGATGAAGAACGATCACGTAAAAGAGCTTTATAGCATATCTCGAAAAAACTTGTTACCACCAGTTGTTTCAAGTCTACTTTTTGTAGTTTTACTAAACATAATCAATCTTCTTTAGAAGTATTAATACCTTACCTGGACATTCTCCATTGGAACAATTTCTTGTTTGATGATGGCTTCCAGCACAACGCTCTCGTTGTAGTCTTTGTCCTGTACTGGGTAAAATGCAAGTCCCAGTTCGTCTTTGTCGGCCGCTTCCACATGTGACTGAGCAATCAGTCCAGGGTGACCAACGCCACTTTCCTGGACATACTCCATTGGAACAGTTTCTTGTTTGATGATGGTTTCCAACACACCGCTCTCGTTGTAGTCTCTGTCCTGTACTGGGTAAAATGCAAGTCCCAGTTCGTCTCTGCTGACCGCCTCCACATGTGACTGAACAGTCAGTCCAAGGTGACCAACGCCAGTGCCCTGGACACACTTCATTTGAACAGTTTCTTGTTTCATGATCGTTTCCAACACACAGCTCTCTTTGTAGTCTCTGCCCAGTACTGGGTGAAATACAAGTCCCTGTTCGGCTTTGCTTACCACCTCCACATGTGACTGAGCAGTCAGTCCAGGGTGACCAACGCCACAGGCCTGGACACTCTCTATTGAAACATTTTCTAATTTGATGATGTTTCCCAACGCACAACTTGCGTCGCAGTATCTGTCCTGTACTTGGTAAGATACAAGTCCCCGTTCGTCTTTGCCGACCACCTCCACACGTGACTGAGCAGTCAGTCCAGGGCTGCCAACGCCACTGTCCTCCTGGTAAAAAGTTCAATATCACAAAAACGGAATTCTAGACAGCACCACTTAATTTAAATTAACACTCGGAACCGTTCGCGACATATCTTCTTGGATTCATAAAAACTGTATGAGGAAAATGAACCAATTTTCTCCACTGTATGGAAGAAACTAGTTCATAGTAGAATACGCATTGCATTATCAAAGACGCGAATGGTTGAGATGCTACACTTTGGAACCTCAAAATTGGGGCAATGTTATAATTTAATCTTGAAATGAGCTAAATCAAACACACTTTTTGACTGCTTTTTACCTATGATCTATTGGAGGACAAATGCGTAACATGACTTCGCCACATCAGTGACACACTGGCCGCTCCTCTGAGCCAATTTTGTGTTTTTACCATATCTTGACGTGATCTGTGACCTATTACTTGATATGAAACCTATTTGTCAAATATGCGGTTCAATGGTGGAGATTATATTCGTGATTTCTGAGGCATTCACTGTTAACGATAGCTGCAGCATACTTTACAGAATAACCGTTGTATAGGTGGACACCGATAAGAGAAGGAGGTGAAAGGAATAAGCCTGATATGTACCTTCCGTTTTGAAGCCAGTGTACCATTCTTGTCTGTTTATCCCTGGGGTCCCGTCAGTATCACATGATCTAATGAGCCCCGCAATGCATGCAGAATTTAAAAACGTTTTCTCGTGGAAAATTCTTGATAATTCGTCTTCAGTGAGCAAACCGTTTCTATCCTCGTCAAAGTACCGGTCAAAGTTACGCTGAAAAAGAAAACTGTGATTTAGTTTGCATGTACAATAACTCTTGTCCGTCAAGAATGAAGCATTTATCTGACGTATCCTTGGTACTGATTGTCTTAGCAACATAATAAACCTTGAAAAGCAACAAACGTTTTGATCTACAACCCACAAAGAATGAACAAAGGTTCAAAATATGTAGACTAGAAATAATGTGTTGGGATCTACGAGTAAATTGATAGAATACCATTGGAGGATACAGTTTTAAAACTGTGAAGAAAAAAAAAACAGGCATAGTTGAGACAATTTAATTGAAAACGAAACTGAATCAGGAGGGGACACAAACCCGTGACAACTAAAAAATTCAATGCCTTTGAAAAAACTCGCTGACTAACCATAAAAGACTCCATGACGAGGCGAGCACATATGAAATTTGCTCTGATGGACAACTCAAGTAATGAAGGGTTTTTTAGTTTATATTTCATCGATTTTCAAAGGGTAGACAATATTTAGTCATACTATGCATCACTCTCTCAACTAGACTACTCTGGGCTTTCTTAGAAACTGAAAATAAAAGTGTGACACGTGCGTCAATTTATCAGTTGGAAGATTGGCATAACCATAAATAGCCTCAATTTCTCTTTACCTTGGCAAGTAGGAGCCTTTGAACTACAGAAAATGCCCTGCTTCCCTGGTACGTCACGAAAAGTCTTTGTAACCACTTGTCTTGAAAATTGATTATTTGTGATTTGGGGCAAACTGATAAAGCCTCTGGAAGATAGACAAATGGCACCTGTGATATGTGATATGAATATACCGTGCCTGGGAATCATGAAGAGGTAACGACGAGAGAGTGAACAAACCCATTCACGTGATTTATTCCAAGAAAGTGCGCTGTTGATGTACTAAACGACAGAAAGGTAATAGGAGGCGCAGTGGCCCCAGTTGTGACAAACGCGCTGTACCATATTTTAGGGGGGTGAAGAGGGCTACTCCTGCCTGGACCATTATGTCGTTTTCCATGAAATTTTCTAACGTCTCCCATTTCACCTTTGAGAACGTGAAAAAAAATAGCAATACCAAAACGATGGTAACTATCTATCTACATCTTGCGAGCGAGGCGTGCCAGCCAGCCCTAAAAGGCGATAGATCAATGATTACTGTCCCAAAATAGACTAAGGTTCTACACTATCTAAGAAAAAAACTAACGTTTATTCTTGTACAGTTTTGTGAAGCAGGTGTAGAAGGTGCAATAGGCAGTAGGTGTAGTAGGTGCAGTTTGGTGTAGTTTAATGTGGTAGGTGTAATTTGGTGTAGTAGTATAGATGGTGCAATAGGCAGTAGGTGTAATAGGTGTAGAAAGTGTAGTTTGGTGTAGCAGGTGTTGTAGGTGTAGTTTGGTGTATTGGTGCAGTTGGCAGTTGGTGTAGAAGGTGCAGATTGGTGTAGTTTGGTATAGCAGGTGCAGCAAGTGTAGTAGGTGTAAAAGGTACAGTTGGCAGTCGGCAGTAGGTGTAGAAGGTGTGTTTTGGTGTAGTATGTGTAGTAGGTGTAGTAAGTACTTTAGTGCGGTTTGGTATTGTTTGGTGTAGCAGTTGTAGTGGGTGTGGTTCAGTGGTGTAGTTTGGTTTCGTTTTCTGCCCGTTGAGCTCACTAACATAGGTGTCTTAGGCAAGATACTTTACTATCAAAGTGAGACGGGAGAACTAACGAAGAGGCGATAAACTGGAATCCCGTCCCCTAATGGAGCACGATATCGGTAGCTTGGCTCCAAACCTTACCAATTTTCCAGTTATCTATTGTTAAGTAATGAAAGAGTCACCAAATTGTTACAAAGTTGACTTTTTTGTCCTCAGATTTATTCATATCACGCAAACCTTGTCAGGGGATGCCATATGAAATGAGATAATTTTAATGAAAGGCTACCATAAAAAATTCACACTTCATAAAAATCCTCAAAATAGAGCCGAAAAATAATTTGACCTTTACGTACCTTGTTCAGTGCAGTTCCCTTGATGCTTTACTTTAATATACATTTCATTTGCACATGCAAACTTATGTAACTCACAGATATTTGGAAATTCCACATGGTACACGCTGCAAACAGGGCGATGTACACTTGAACAGTTTATTGGACACGTGCACTCTGGGGTGATCACTTCACCGACCTTACTTTCCACACACATCATTCCCTTGTTGCAGACAGTCTGCGCACACGTACTCGCTAAAAACCAAAACAAGGTAAAATCTCAAAGAAGAAAATCATAAGCGAAGAAAGTGATAACTTTTAATTCGTCAGCTAACGAGAGAAACGTGAAGCTTCATTTATAACGTTATATCAGAGTTTGATTGACTCTCTGAGTGCTATAGGCAACGTCACCACAGTGGCCAGTGTGACTACAAACATCGTTTTCGATAGGGTACAGACCACGCTAATCCACTGTCGATTTATTTTTTACAACAATCATATCGACATCAAACAAAACGATTTTTTCAATGCATGACTCGTTGTGTGACTCGTTGACGAGAAGAGCGTTGTCTGTGCTCTTATCGACAACGGCGGATTAGCCAATCAGATTGCGACATTACTGTCATGTGGTCAAACTGGTTTTAGACGGTGTCGCGACAGAAAATCCAAAGCCCATCATTGACCTTTCAGAAAGGGCTGGTCGTGAGAATTTCACCTAAATAACAGTTCTCGTAAGAACGCGCATCACAGGACGCCATTTCTTCCTAGAGTTCCGTAGGCTTGAAAAACTTTCAGTTTTAACGCACATTATCCCGGCAAGACTTTGAAAGTATAACCTGTCGACTTCAAAGTCCTTCAACCGGTTCATGGTAACAATGTACACGATCTACACGTACAAGAGCACGAAAAATTTTATAAACTTTTGTGGCCATAAATACTGAGTTTGAACAAAGTTCTTTGTCTACAAAGACAATGGATGAAGATATGCAAATTATTCGTTTACCGTTTGTGGACCCATCGCCTTTGCTTTCCGATGCACTCAACACCTATGGGGAAAAGAGAGCACTTTAACAAAAAAAAAAAAAAAAAAAAGTGATTTCATGGAACTCAATTACAGCTCAAACATCTTGGATCCTTACTAGTTCATATCATTTATATATTTCCTAAAGAGTATCAGTGGAATAGTAAAACGATTATTTCATTGTCATGATTGAACACTCCATAATTAGAGCAGTTCATTTGCTTGGTGCTCCAGCGTTACCGGAAGTCACAACCGAAGTTCATCTTCGGTCTAGATATAACGGAAGAGATGCTATTAATTTACTTCTATAATCCAAACGTGACCTTTTTAGATCCGTTTTGACCGAAATCAGCGAAACCGACTGATGTTTCAGACTTTGCAACTCATCTCACAGTCAAAGAGGAAGACAGACTACAAATTTAACAACTGATGTCATTGATTACTATACTTTGGCCAGAGCTGAAGGGAGTCAATTACTTAAATGCGTATATTCACCGCGAAATAAGCATTGTTTGATAACCGAACTATACCAAACATTTGCAGTTTACTTTTACTATTAGGAATCTCCAATACTTGTGTGTCGATTTATTCGTTGGGATGGATGAAGAACCTGTTTCTTTCTTCATGATCCGAGGTTTGTGAATGTATTTAGTCTTCCAAGACTGCGGTTTCGTTCTCTATAGTTATTTCATTTTTCATTTTGCATCGTTTATCCCTTATTGAATTCACCTTTGTATTTGTTTGCACGAAATTATGTTAAAGTAGAATGTTCAATTTACTGTAATATAGTATTATAGTGTGATAGACATAAGTGTCGATCAGGACGCATGCTTTTGTATTTTTTTCTCTATAGTCATAGATTTCTCGTTGTATATTATGTTTGAGTTTAGCGTTTTTTAAAACTCATTTTTAATTCTTGAAATCTTTATAAAAAATGTTGCTAAGAATGACAAGCTAAACATCGAAAAATGACAAAAAAGCCATGATGAAGCTCCAACTCATTTTGATCTTCTCTTCTCCAGTCATGAGGTGCATTTTACTTCGACAACATCAATTGAGTTTCAATGGTTTTCCTGTTCAAAGGTTTAGAAAAGAGATTAATGATGATTCTGCTGTTTATTCAGAAAACCACTCGGGAAAGAATTTGTACATGCACAACTTTTAAAGCGAAGAAATTATAGGAGACTTATAATGAGTTTCTGTTATGAGGTATTTGTCAAAAATGAGGGATATCGTACAGTCTACTCAGATAGGAGCTTTCGAAAACGTAAAAGACTTGAAGACAAATTCATCAGACCAGTTTAGGTTTTCCGTCAATTTTCAAGTCGGTCTTTAGTGGTTCACATCTTTCAGTGTTATGATTATGGCAAGGCGTCAACAATTTCCTTGCCATGCTTTCTCACGAATTTCCTTCGATGTTCGCGAAAGATGAAAGCAAAATGTATTTCCGTTACTGCATGACCAGTGACAGGAACTGAAAATGCAACAATTCAGGCAAAGAAATGCTTTACTTCCTTTTAATTCGGAGCGAGGTAGCCAAAACCCACGAAACATCCTACTATGAGAAAAATGGCCCCTTGAGGTTTCTTATAAGCTAGCGTTTTTACTTCACTTTATCATTCTTTTCTTTGTAAGACTACTGCTCTTCGTTTCAGTTTTCATTTAGAATTAAGAAGACATATATTAAATTCTTATCACCATTTAAACAAGAAAATCCACATATCTCAATTTGTTGCTCTCCTGAGACATCTCAAGCCACTCTCCTATAAGACTAGCCTCATTCTTGAGGATTTTAACGTTCAATCTTTCCAAAATAGTTCAATTTTCTCGTCTCTTCAGTTCGGATGCAAGAAAGAAAACATTTTATATCGGCACGATGGTTAGCTGAACATGAAATTTTGACTGTATAGCTTATATCTAAAATCTCATCAATCAGCAAGAGCGCTCCCACCTTTACATTAATAGGAATTATGCAATGGCTTCAACTAGAACAGGAAAGCAGCTAAAACGTGACATTTTTCAACAAAATGTTTTAAAATGGTCTGATAATATAATAAACAAGACGCTTACTGCCGCAAAGAGACTAAATTGTAATGGCGACTCACCGCTAAAGCAACTAGAGCTACAAGTCTCGAAAGCACAGCTCGCCTAGACATCAAGAATTGTTGGGGTAAAATGAAGTCCACTCTAAGTTACAATACTTTAAAATGCGTGTACTTTAGCTTAAGAAGTCCGAATTTAACAGGTTGTGTCCTCAGACCAACGAGGTATGCTTTTCGTTTAGCGATTGGCCAAAACAGGTTTTAAGAATAAACGGCTTTTACCTGATATGAATCGGCACCTCAGGTTTATATTCTCAAATCTTGTTTTACTGTCAGAAGGTTTTTTCATTAAAACGCGTTTTGGCGACGTTTCAAAGTTCCTGGATGATAATCTGTTTCGTGTTGAAAGGCTCGGAGGGTCACGTGCCGTTTGTCACTTAGGCAAAGAGAGATTTTTGCAATATTCCGTTATGGTGAGCGACAATTGAAGTGTGTGCAGGTATTGTTTTTGTATTACTTTTGTACTACTTTATTATTTTCGCTGAGAATTCCACCCATCCAAGATGAAAAAGGTGTATAAAAAGTTGCGTCGTAAACGTCTTAATTAAGTAAACAGTTTTTTTTCCTCAGAGGAAGCCTGCATTACCTAAAATAGTAAGAAATTTTGTTTATCTTGTTAATTCCCCAAAGCCAATAATGTAAATCTCTCTCAACAAAAACACTTAAAGCTTTGGTCGGCTGGAAATAGCTTGAACAAGTATTAGGTAACAGTTTGGAATGATAGAGGCATTTTTATTGCATAACAATAACTTTATCTGGAAACTGCAAATACTTTTTGAAGAACAGCATATTAAAGTGTTAACTGTGAAAGTATTCAATACAATACTAAACATTAACATTTTGTAGTTTTTCCGCTCATCAATGATCTAGCAACTTATCTTTGGTTAATTTTTTAATGATCTAGTCTCCTAATAAAGCAGGACTAACAGTGATTTCGTCTGCCTCGTGTAAATACAAAAAGTGTGATTCCTGCATGTTTTGAAAACACCTTACAGCTTAGTTTTTGTGGTATCGTATCATTTCAAACTTCTCCATGTCTCAGATTGAAAACTGAAATAAAAGAGCTTATAATTCAGGGTAGTTTAGTTGAGGAAGGAAATGCGCCATGCCTACTTGAGTGCTTAATATTAAACCATTCTTCGATTCTCAACAAGGTTCATAACAAAAAAGCAAAGCTATTTACTTATTCATGTATTAAATATGATTCCTTTCCACAGAGAAATCGAGAGTATAAATCAAGACAGTGACACACGTTACATGTGGTTTAAAATGGCTGAAAACGATCAAATAAAGATTGAGATGAACCTCTACGACATAGGGTTATCCAAGAAGAGAAAACAAGCCTTTTCAAGTTTACTCCACGGGAACCAGTACACACTGATATAAATTGCAAAAGATATAGTTAAAACAAATAGTAGAAGTGGACCTAGGCGAGATTCATTTCGAGAAAACAAGCCTGTTCAAGTTTACTTCACGAGAATCAGTACATACTGATATAAATTACAAAAGATATAGTTAAAACAAATAGCAGAGGTAGACCTAGGCGAGATCCATTTCGAAAATTTAAAAGTTATTCGTGGCAACAATACAGACTTCTCGTAACGTACAAAATATAGTTAAGGGATCTTCCATTTGGGAAATGTCTCGGGTCGCATGAACTCTTTCAGTCTTTTAATAAAAGGAAAGAGTAGCAGATTTTTAGTCTGGAATAGATCTTGTTGAGTAATTCATTACGTGTATTCATCGTACACATACATATTTACTACATGATATAAAGTAATAGGGGAAAAGAAGTAAGCTGCTGTTTATGAAGGGAACTTAGAGAGTCGCATTGTAAAGATAATGAGTTGAAAACTTCTCGTAAGTTAATTTAAACTCAGACTTGTATTACCCGGTATCCAAGCTACCCAGTATCCATAGTCAGTAACAGATAATTATGTAGTTTTATTCTTGGAGAATTCATGGACATCATATCGCTCAGGAGTAATTATCGCAACATCACAGTACAAGAGAACTGAGAAACGTACCTGCAAATCAAAAGCAAGTGATGAAAGAATCGTTCCTTGTATGTACTGATTAGGTACAGTGAGGAAGTAGGGTATTCAGTGATAAATTTTTTGTATCCAATAGGCGCATATATAGAAATTGCCTTTCAAAAGGAATATTCAGGAGATAGGTCTCGAAAGTTTCCATGAAATCTATTTAATGAGTTGATAAATTGCGATTCAACCGGGAAGAATTAAGATGGTTTGAAGGAAGAAATTGAATAAGAGCTCGAAACTTCAGATTTAGAAACTCATTACAGTGGCCAATTTACACTATTAACTCAGTTGATAAAATCAAATTGTATCTTGCAATACCTCGTACCGACGCAGCACCACACTTTCTTTAGAAACTTACCCCGTTTGAGGAGAATCTAAGTAATGCAGATGTATATCATGAGCTGTAAACTCAAGGACTAAGATTCTTCCTTCCGACTTTTCGTTGCCAGGCCATAACTAATTATTTCCTAGGGTAAAGAACTGAGTTTCCTTTAATTTACTAGCGAGGGAAAGAATGATTTGCAGCGCTAAAATCTCGTGAATGATTGAAGATACACACTGCAGTAAACACGAGACAGAGCTGAAAGGAATATGTAAGACTCGCGTGCAGATCTACCTATAACTGAGCGTTCGGGAGCCACGCTGTCTTTATTTCGCTCTGTGAAGAGCATAGGGCGGTCGCAATAGTTTCTTTAAAGGTAAAAATAACTACACTAGAGTCGGGTGAGTTCTGCTGGTGTGCAGTGAAGGTGTAATTTTCCGTCATTTTCAATCGTGTTTTAAATAAGTATAAGATCACAAGCAACCAAGAACTGAAGTCATAGGCATGACAAGAACGTTAACATATTTGAGGAACTGACCATAACAGTAATCAGGAGAACCATTCTCTTAAAAGGAATTGAATTGCGGAACATTTTCTGATTCTTCTTATGAAATTCTGCTCCTGTGATCTAAGCTATATTTTCTCCGCGAAAAAACCGTGCACAACTCCTGCAAATACGAAAGAGCTCATGGCGGCATTCTATTTGCCAAATGAATTGGGGGTGGAGACCTTCTCCTAAACCGGCTCTGATTAATCTTGTGATATTTTAAACCCGGCATGTATGGGATTTATCATGTTTTTTTTCCTGCCTTGTATCCACTGCTTAATACCATAGGACAGGCTAGTTTCCAAGGTACAGTGTGTCAGTCACGAAACCACGGCGTAGTATTGTCTTTGATGTAATTCGAGTACCTCGCAATGTTTTCAGAATTTCGTGAAACTAGCTAATAAACCGCAAGTTTCTTTATTTTTATTAGAGATCAAACGAATATTGTCTTTACTCCTTTTGGGAACACGAAATATATTTAAGTCATTGTTTGAGTTGGAAGGCTGAAACTGCAGTAGTATCTGTAATTTTTCAGTTGGGTTTGACAGGTTCATGGAACTCATTGACATATTGTCCCAAAAAATGAGTAATTTCTCCATCCAATTTCAAAATATCATCTTGCAACTTGAAAATAAGTAGCTCCTACATCCTGCTATCCTACTAAGTCGTGGAACAAAACACGATTAAGCCCGTTTGGAAGGTGTCACTGGATACCATATTCAAGACAATTCAAGAGCTGAAAGGGAACTAGATACTCGACACGATGTCCCTCATTTCGTTAGAGCGTCCAAACTCTACAAATTTTTTCTTTTTCTGTGTAAAAAAACTCAGAGAAAACAAGAAGGTCCAGTTTGACTTTCTTTGTCCTGTAAAAGTAAATCAAGCCGACTAACCGCCAACAGTTAACCTCAAAAGTAATGCTTTCTTTTAAACTCTTAAGAGAAGATGTCACCAAAGATCAGACAAATTCATAAATCACCGGCAAC